GGAAAATCTTTTTGAATTTTCAAATGTGCTTTCTGTTGTTGTGAATTGCACTCACAAAAGCTCCATATAAGTTTTTACTTCATAAAAAGTTTGAAATCAAAGTCGACAGATAGTGATCAGAGGTATAAGTTAGTTATAGGTATAAGTTAGGATAGTTCACTTTGAAATTAATTTTTGGAATGTTTTAGCTTACCTCAAGTGCATCCAAGATGTAAGTGAGTTTGTTTGAGCAGTATTTTCAATTTTGATATTTTTAGGTCAAACCGTTCATGTCTATCAGTCATATAATGGAGGTCTATGGGGTCCACCTCAAAGAGCATGCATAGAGAAGTCCAAATTAAACATAATTCAATGACTCGTAAATGTAAGTACACATTGATGTCCTAAGACACGAAATGAGCGGTTTGTGTGAGAAAAACAGTATTTATATCGTTTTACCCTCTTGTAACCATAGCCACAAAGCGCACGCGCCCTCAGATTACTTGAACATGGCTGTGGTTTCAAGAGGTAAAATCTTTATAAAAACTGTTAGTTTTCTCACACAAACCGCTCGTTTCGTGTCTTAGGCCATCAATGTGTATTTACATTTATGAGTCATTGAATCATGTTTAATTTGGACTTCTCTGTGCATGCTTTTTGAGGTGGACCCCATAGACCTCCATTATATGACTGATAGACACCAACGGTGTGACCTAAAAACATAAAAATTGAAAATACTGCGGAAGCAAAGACACCTGCATCTTGGATGCCCTTGAGGTAAGCTAAAACATGCCAAAAAATCATTTCAAAGGGAACTATCCCTTTAAGGTGTTAACCGATGCCATGATGCCATAGGTCAGTATTTTACGGGAGATGGGGCGTACCGCACCAAAGACGGCTACTACCAGATCACAGGACGAATGGATGACGTCATCAATATCAGTGGGCACCGGCTGGGCACTGCCGAGATAGAAGATGCACTGGTGAGAGCCGAAGTTCATTACAGAATTCGTAATTATAGAAATTAATTACATGCAGGGTTTTTTATTTTATTTTAAATATGAGTGTACGTACACAATAAGTGCATTGTATCAAGTGATTACTTTAAATGTTAGTACATAGTAGTTAAGGACATCTAATATATAGTGGGACCTATATTATTATGATGATTTAAAATGTTCTATAGAGAGTCTTTTACAGATCTGAAGCAAATGTGCACTGCTGTTTATAAGTTTGGAGTCAGGAAGATTATTTTTTTTAAATTAAATGAATACTTTCATTCAGCGATGATGCACTGAATTCATATAAATGCTGTTCTTTCGAACTTTCTATTCATAAGAGAATCCTGAAAAAAATGTGTTTTCAATATCGATGATAAATGACTATTTCTCTGGCATCAGGATGAACATCCAGACGTTCCTGAAACTGCAGTGATCGGAATTCCTCATGAGATTAAAGGAGAAGGTAAAGCCCCCGACGATCTCACCTTTTTTCATTCATGAGCCATCTGGAACACACGCACCCACCCAAGCCAGCAGAGACCTTTTGACCCACAATTCATTGTGTGCATTACAACACCCTTGGCCATTGTGAAAAGAACAATAATAATGAAGACACAATTAACCGTCACAAAATATTCAGTGTTTAAAGCAAATGGGATTTTACCTTGCCTGTTTACATTTCTCTAACTTTATCTTCCTGTCTTTCTCTTTCACCAGTTCCATTTGCATTTGTAGTTTTAAAAGAATCTGCTACTGAGAACCAGCAGGCTGTTGTGGGAGAGCTGAGACTCCTAGTGGCTACTAAAATAGCTAAATATGCCGTCCCTGATCACTTCCTGGTAAAATCAGTAACATCTTTTTTATTTAAACTTTATGTATTCAAGAGTATTTACAAAGAGCGATTATGACTGATCATAAAATCAACCAAAATATGTTGTCTTAATCCTCACTGTCTGTCTGTACAGATGGTTTTAAGATTTATTTGTTTTGTCAGCCGTGAAGCATCTCTGCTCTCTTCTTTAAGGTTGTGAAGCGTCTTCCTAAAACACGCTCTGGAAAAATCATGAGGAGAATCTTGCGAAAGGTCGCCATGCACGACACAAGCAACCTGGGGGACGTCTCCACGCTGGACGACCCCTCTGTCATTTCAGAGATCATTGAGGCACAAAAGCACTACAAAAATGATCCAACAAAGAAGTAGAAAAAGACTGTTGAGATGTTGCCACGTTTAATTTGAGGATCTATGAATATGATACTGTGATGACAAGTAATTCATGTGTAAATATGAGAGTAGCAACAATGTTGGCTACACAGAAAGCATAAATTGTAGGTCAAATGCTTTGATATGTAGTGAAACATGCACCTGAATCCTTGAGGTTTGCACAGTGTTCTTCCTGTAGGCAGAGACTGGGTGAGATTTTCTGTGGAACATCAATATTTTGTTGCTGCAGAAATATTTTGTTGCTCATGAGAGAGGATTTTATTTTTTTAAGGTGCTCAATCAGTTTGTCTCCAGGTAAATCTCACCTCGCTCATATTTCCTTGTTTTCTTGGAAGCGTCTTTGGAGTTTTATGCCTTAATTACCTAATGTTTATGACAAAATAAACATGATATAACTGATTAATATTCAATCATTAGTGTAATTTTACATGTTACCATTTGATTCTTAGTATTTTCTTAGAATAACAAAATCTGTATTTTGAACATTAAAAATGTTTAAAAATATATACGGTCTGTTTTTCCTTAATTTCTAAAGCACTAATATTTGCAATCAAAATTATTCAACCCCCCAGAGACTATAATAATTTACAAATGTAGGCTTTTCTAAAGATAGATTTCTTTAAAAATGGCATCTAGAAGTTTAATATCACATTAAAAGTGATAATGTCAATATGTAATGTTTTAGAGTTATATGATTTTTCGTGTAATACTGCTATTTCATTATTATTCAACCCCTGTTCAATTAATAAACGCCTATAGTGTTGCTGTCACTTATTTGTATGGTATGGTACAAAATTGCATAAAAACACAATTAAGCCTTTGGAAACTCTATAACAAAACTGAATTAGCTTGTGCTGTTACACATACATACATACATTTAGCCCATGTAAGTGCTAAAGTTGAGTTGCAAATATGGCCAAGTCAAAATAGCTCTCAAAGGCGATAGTTAACAAATTGTTTTAAGTCTAGCTATAAGAATATTTCCAAAACACTGAAAGTTCCTAGAAGCACAGCTGGCAGCCCTTTTCATAAGTTTAGAATTTGTTGTACTAGCAGAAAATTGAGGGGAATAAAATGTTTGATCAGAGCAACTGAGAAAACCCCATCAATTTACTGCCAAAGACCTGCCAGATGACCTGATGAAAGGAGGAAAAAACACAATGCAGAAGAAGAACAATAGACAACATGGCAGCAAAATGTCTTGCAGGTAATTTAATTTCGAATAATTTTGACTTTCCACACAATCGAACATACAATCTTAGTCAATAAACATTCACACAGGTCAAGATTCAAGAACGGTGGCTTCACAATAGCGCCATCTCCCGGTGGGAGAGGGAATGTTGAATGTCTCCTGGCAAATAAATGCAGTCAAATGTGAAGTGATTCAAATATATAGTTCATAAATAAAGTAATTAATCATTGTACATAGTTTTGAAAAAAATATCAGAAATGAGAGATTAGTAGTGAAGGTATACAATTAAGTCTGTTTGTACTATGTTCTGTAAAATATGAGTGCAAATAATGAAATATAACAAGTCAGAAACAACAGGTGTCAAAACAGACACTATGATGTTTGTAAAAAAGAGAAGACAACATACAGGTGGCAGAATGTGAACCATTTGTGAACACAATTACAGTAACTAGTTAAAAAAGTAAGTGCATTAGTTTGTTTATTTTCATTATTTTTTTTCCACCTCTGAAAGATGATTTATGTCTAAAACTTTATTTAAAAAAAGGAAGCATGTATAGAATAACATGCACTATTCCATATCTTCTCATTATTTTAACGGCTGTGGAAGTTTGTGAAGCAAACAGACATTGTCTTGTTACTACAAGACATGGAACTCCCAATGATCTAAAAGCTCTGTGAGCAAAGCGCAAAGGCAGAAATACGTTGGAAAAAAACAACAAAAAAACACGTAAGTTAGAAAACAAAGAACACGATTGTACTCAATTTCTTTAGATTAATTTGTTTATATTACTCATATATATTTGTTTATATTTAATTATTACTTATCTGATTTTTTTTGAATTACTAACACCCTATGAAACCAGCTGTAATCTAAAATAATTTCACAACATAGAAATATATTCTATTCTATTAAAAAAATCGATTAACATGGACCAAATTGTTCACATAATATATTTTGCGAAAGACATTAGAGCGGATATAGATTACAAATGGTCTTTTTGTAATTGTGAAAGAGAGGCTATTGTGCAAACGTCCCTGTTCATCTTCTTTTTTTTTTTTTGGTATGAGATTTCACAATTTCAAAGTGTGAAAATGAATTGCAACCTAGTCTTAAATAGCCCTATGCCATCTGTTTTACTTCATTCAAATGAATATTACTTTCCCAATTATTTATCAGACTAAATAGAGTAACTCTAACCCCAAACCCCCAAATGCTCATTTTCAAACAGACTTTAAAGTTTATTTAGATTCCAATAATTTCAAAGAAATGTTTCTCTGTTAACTGAATTTAACGTGTGTTTGTGATGCCCTCTAATGTCAAGTTCAACGTTATTTGTTTCGCTTTATTTAATTATTGCTTTTTCAATTTCTACTTGCAAAATGTGAAATTGATGAATTTTTATCATTTTAAAAGTAAAAATAAAAAATAAAAATAAACAAAAAGACCTGTCGACCTCACCACGAAGCCCCACCTGGCCCCACTTTCCATCCAGTCGCCGACCGTTGTCCTCCAATTAAAACGCTCCTTCTTTTTCATTTCATCCAACCGGAACTACTTTTGTTGCACGGACGCTATGTGCGCACACGTCTGATTGGTCGAGCGGCGTTCTGGTGTGACGCTAGGGTTTACGCCGACGTTGGGGGCGGAGAGGGAGGGTTGACTCTAATGGCGCATCGCAGTCCGACCGATCCAGATCTCCACAAATAAACAACAGCAGTACTTCACTATCTGACCTAATTTATACTTTTGCGAGTTCCACCGCGCTGCAGCCGCACTTTGCGCTTTTGCTCATTGATCAGATCGGCTGGGCTTCTTTTTAGCGGCTGCTCGGAGCACAAGAGGCCCAGAGGGAAGACGGACGGAGGATCGGTGAGTGTGCAAACATGGTAAATGAACAATGTTTCATTAAAGGGATAGTTCACCCCAAACTAAAAATTCGGTCGTCTTTTACTCACACCCGTGTTGCTTCAAACCTGCGTGACTTAATTTATTTAGCTGAACACAAAAGATGTTAGGCAGAATGTTAGGGATTGAAAGTGAATGGTGACTGCGACTGACATTCCTCCTGACATCTTTTGTGCTCCTCTCAAAAGAAAAACTCATACGGGTTAGAAATTATTATTATTATTAGGTGAACAATCCGTTTCATTTACAGAAGGTGCCTCATAAAACTTTCGTATAATTAAGAAGTTGTGTGCTAGAAAATGCCTCTCAGTTCGGTTTGTTTTGTTTTATCATCTTTAGTCTGCTGACTATGTTAGCTTTGTAACGCCTGTCATGTGGAGTAAGTTAATAGTCAGGAAAAAAAAAACCCTACATTTTTTAGAAAAGTTTATTGAACGTTTAGACAAAACATTTTTATTTTAAATGTGCATATGTGCTTTATATTTTCTTTCATATTTGATACATAAGGAGTTCATAGACCTTTTTTGTATGATATAATGAAAAATTAAAATGTGGAGCTCACACTCGAGGAGGAAGAAAACATCTCAGTTTTATTCAGAGGTCCAAATTGAGTGAAAATGTGCAATTTAGTGCAGATGTTATGTATCATGTGGCAAAAACGTAACATGAAATTTTATCTGAATTTTTAGTAACAGTATATCTGACTTGCATGAAATGCACATATCAGCTGTCACTTTACATCTCTCAATAATATGTATAAGTAGTAATATGACTTTTAAATGCTTAATTTTATGATCAAAGCTCTGTTTTAATTGTGGGGATAAAATGTATAATGTAATGCTCTTCAGTGTTGATTGTGAAATGTACAGATAAACTTCAAATGCCTGTTGTATCATTTGATTCTTACATTTTATCCAGATAATCAAGGGAACATTGCTTTAGTGCAGAAAATTGTTATCTTGAAATGTTACTAAAAAATAATTTAAGACAAAAGTTATCTACTTTCGTAAGGCATATTTATCTACTTTAGTTCCATTTGTAGCATTTAAAACAAGGTGCAATAAATCTTCTATTTTTTCCTACATGCTGAGATGCTGATGTTATATTAATTTTCACTATGTCTATTGTTTCCTATAGAGAATATGCAACAAACGTCAACATGACGTCCAGATTTAGTAAAACATATACACGGAAGGGAGGAGAGGCCAGCTCGAAGTTTGATGAGGTGTTTTCTAATAAGAAGGCCACGCTCAGCACCAAATGGGGAGAGACCACCTATAAGGCACAGTTGGGGGTCAAACGGCCCTCGTTCAAGCCAGAGGTTCCTGAGCTTACTAAACGACCCCGCTTTGATGATGATGACAGCTCAGAGGACCCATTTGGCTTTGACAGCGACGACGAGTCCAAAACTGTCACTTCCAGAGGTACTCCTCAATCTGAGATGGGCTCAGATGCAACAGGATCTGGGAATGAGCTGATAAATATTCCCAGTGGGGGCACAGCGGTGACCGCTATGGGTACTTTCTCCTTGGGGAGCAGCTCAAACATCTGCAGTGGGGTGGTTGGTATGAATAACCCAGGTAAGAAATTAAACGCTTAAAATTTGGTTTTGTGGAGCACCTCATTCATGCTGAAATACTTATAAGTACAGTACTGGAGATGGATCTTAAAGCTGCAGTCTGGTGTTTTTCCTCTTTGTCACCATCTCTTTTCGAAATCTGCCATTGCAGTCATTCGCGGAATTATCAACTTAACACAAGTTGTACTTCAACACCCTCGAGACGGCACAGCACGCCAGTGCGGATAAACACAATGTTTTAGGAGACTGTGAGGCAGTCAGTCACCGCGCCGGTGTGGATACTGGCATTCAGAATTACTGATTATTCTTTTAGGAAGTATGACCAACATAAGAATTTTCACCCGGAAAATGTCCTCTGAACTAGTAAGAAACATCCACTTTTGTTCTGGTTCTGACATTGCAGTAAATAGCGCTGATTAAATCTAACAATCGCTTATAAGTTATCATATCACGCAAATATACATATACTTTGTTCTCAAATTGTTAATGTTAACAACGTAAACAAGCATTGTGTGACTGCATGTAATGTCCTTCCGATATGTATCCTTGTTTTCGCATGGGTCCGGTTGCAGTCTCTTTTTTTCTGTTGCCACTCTGAAGTCCGAACAAAGTCTTTTGCATTTTACAGCGGGTGAATCTGTTGTCACTGATGATTGTCGTTTGAACTTTTCTGGATCCGCCATCAAATTGATAAGTTTAATTATATCAAGTGCTGTGAGAAAAGACTATAAATCTCCACTTCGAACATCCTCACACGCAATAAAGCCTACTAGCCGAGACTCTTCTTTATGTGTACAGATGTGACTTAATGACGCAAAGACATGTTCGAATCTCCTGCGGAAATCCACCAGTACCACTGGAATTATAAACATTATTACAAGCTTACTGCTTTGAATCGAGCTAAGGCAAGCAGAGAGTTGGTTGGTTATGTATTTTCTCAAATATGTATTTTGGACAATTTTTAACCCCAAAAAAAGCTACGGACTGCAGCTTTAAAGGAATAGTTTAGTTCACAGAAAAATAATATAATTTACTCACCCTCATGTTGGTCCAAATCCTTATGACTTTCTTCTGTTGAACACAGTGAGACCTGGATTATAAATAGAACTTATTAATTGAAAAAATTGGACGGTTCACAAATTAGGCATGGCTACTTCTCTAATAAATCTCTAATAAATCTTAAAATATGTCAGTGCCCTTATTTTGTCTCAAGATACACACTAGTTAAGCATAATCCTGGCTTAATCTAAGCCCCCTGTCTGTGAAACCACACCTAATGGTGCTTTTCCACTACACTTGGCTTGGCTCGGCTCGCCTTTGTTTTGTTTTCCACTGTGTAAAAGTTGTACCTGTTCCTGCTTTCTGGTACTTTTTTTTTTTTTATACCTCCTCCGGTGAGGTTCTGAGTGAGCTAAGGCGATACTAAAACTAAGGCGTCACGTGAAAGCAATGCAGACTGCTGATTGGTCAGAGAGAATCGTCACTATTCACTGTGTCATCATTACATGCGCCAGATTGAGAATCCAGAATAACCCTGCTGTTTTTAAATAGTGTGGCCAAAGATAGTTACTAAACTAACTAATTATTATTATGGCAACTCGGAAGAATACGCCGTGGTCAAACGAGGAGGTGCAGACTTTCCTTTGTTTGGTGGCCGAAGAGAGGATCCAGCGAGAGATTGATAGGGCAACGAGTAACGAATGGCGTCGCTATGACGACCGGGTACTATTTGTGGCGGTACTGTCTGCAATGGAAAACGGAACGAAAAGCGAGCTGAGTCGAGCCGAGTCGAGCTGGTACTCGTAATGGAAAAGCACCATAAGACTTTTGTTCATCTTCGAAACTCAAATAAAGGTTTTTGCCCATCCATTGAATGTCTATGCAAATTTTTACATTCGTAAAGATATTCAAAACAATCAAGCAGTTTAATCCAAGTCTTCTGAAGAGACATGATCACTTTGCAAAAATTAGAGGATAATTTGTTTTCTGAAAATGCAAAAAAAAAAAAAAAGATTTTTGGGTTTGGAATGACAAGGCTGAATAAATGAGTATAAAACCAAGTGTAAATATGTGCCATTGAAGGTGTCTATAATAATGCCATGGGAAATATTGGGTGACCACATTATGACTTCAGTTTCTTTAAATCACTTACAATCATCTCACAAGAAATTCTTCTGCTATTGAGTCCAAGCCCAAGCTTTAGAGTAATTTAGGGTGCTTTGTTGTTCTTAATACTGGCTACTTAAAATGACCTTCTAGATCACTTGAGTCAGACCCATATTATGATGTCTTAGTCATTACGATGATCTCACACCATTGTGAAATGTGGGGTGATGAGGTCACTGTGTCTTTCTGCAGCAGGTTATACTGGTTTCATTCAGTGCTGAGAATAGCAGTAGCTCTGCTGAAGTCGAGGTGCTCATGTAAGCACACTGGCAAAGACTCTGGGGCTCAGCAGGATATTTTCAGCCCTATGCAGTTCAACACTTTCCCTTGGCTCTTTAGCAAGGCTAATTACGGCTATTAGAGGAGCAGTGAAACAAGGGCTCAGGTTGTGATGACCCTCTAAGGATCACTAAACTTCTAGTAGTAATATTAATAATTATATATGGTATCTACATCTGACTGTGGAAACATTTAGTGTGGGGTTTGAAAGAAATTTACTCAAGCTTGTTCATCCAAACCTGTATGACATTATTTCTTCTGTGAAACACAAAAGAAGATATTTTGAAGAACACGCTGGTTGTTTCTTTCCCCAGTTGTTTCTTTGCAGTGAACAGGAATTCAAGTTCTCATGCTTAAAAACATGTAAAATCTCCATAAAATCACAATATGGTCCATATGACCAGTGTCTTAGCTTTGTGTGAGGAATCGACCTACATTTGTTGGTGAAAATCAAGCTTTCTTTTAATGCTGTTTATATGTCTATGTAGTGTTTTATTTTTAATATGCTTTAAGACAAACCATGTACAAATTCATAAGTCAACAGTATTGCTGTAGCCTGGATGCCAGCCAAACATGGCCCCGCCCACAACTTTTGAGGTTGGGAAAATTCGGTCTGGACTTGATTCGTTGTGAAGCAAGTATACCCAGAACCAAAACTGTTCGGACCAATCAAATTGTCAGGGCGGGCTTTATGATGATGGACAGATCAACCAAAGAGCACTTGGGTTGAATTCTTTTACAACAAAGAGCTGCCACTGGAGAATTGAGATCAGTGTAGATCCAGCCATCATGTCTGTTAGATGTAGACAGGGCATTCATTTTAAAGAGGAACAGAGAACTTCGATCAAGGCAAGGTCTATCCAATTGAGTGCAGAGGCATTTTTTCCCTGGTTCGGTTAAAACACGCTCAATAATCAAAGTCCAATGAAGCAGTATCAGACTCATATTCTAACTAGAATTTGAGTATGATGGCGTCAGGCTAAAATTTCAGAGTATTTTCTCCTTAAAACTGCAGTGAACCAAAGGCAGTCTTAAAAAAAAAAAACGGTTTGACATTGTTACTGACTTACCAAACTAACTTGTAACCAATCAGGTCAATGAGTGGATCTCTGAACTGGCGTGAGTGGAGGCGGGGCTAATTGGCATATTCTTAGAACCGTTTATACTAAATGAAGCAAGGGTGTTGTTACATTCAAGCTATAAATGTCTATAAATGCTATAAATGGGAAATAAATCTAATTTTGATGACCAAAGATGAGTTTTAAGAGATACAATTATTGACTACAGGGGGATATAATGGGTTCTGTTCATTCCGTTCACAAAGCCACTGAATGAATCATTCACAATCAAGTTGTAGATTTCCCACTGTGTTCAACAGAAGAAAGTCATATGGGTTTGGCATTAAATGGTGGAATTATTTTTATTTTTGTGCAAACTATCTCTGTAAGAATTCAGGGATGTTGCATTTGTTTTAAAATTAAAACTTTTCCCTCTGCTTCGCGTTGTGCCTAACAACGCCCTTCAGGCGTTACTTATTCACGATACAGCACAACCTCTTGTACCTTAATGCTTACATATAATATTATATATATTTATGTGTATACATTTAAATAATACTTTTATATATTATAAAGATTGTTATATTGCTAATGTTTATATATAAACAATACTTTTTTTTATATAATATTCAATATTATATATTGCTATAGTTTATGTAAACAACACTTTTTATATAATTGTGCATTGTTTATAATGTTATAGTAAGTTTTTAAACAATATTGTTCTATATAATATTGGTGGTTGTGTTTTGATGTGTCACCAATTTCTTTTTTTCATAAGAATCCCACACTTTTTATCTCAATTGCAGCTCAAACGTATCCAGCCACATCACATGTCACTGGCACTGTAGGAGCCTTTAGCAGATCCAGTGTCACAGTAAGCAAACCAGTCTCCCAGGTCTCCAGCTTGAAAACCCACAGTAGTAACGTTTCCGAAGAATGGGACTCTTTCGGGGAGGACTCCCCTCCTGGGGCCGGCGAGGGCAGTTCAACCCAAGATGGGAACTCTTCTGATGGGCTCAAGAGCTCAGAGCAGTGCACCGCTGAACCTGAACCTACAGTGGAACCTGTTGACTTTGAGCAGCTTCCGCTTCTCAAACCATCCAGCAACAGAGTCTACCGACGACCACGAAATAAAGGGGCGCATAGTTCTGGAGCCGGTGATGCACCAGTTCCTGCTGTGTGTCCAACACCAGCTTCTGTGCCGGTGAAGAGCGCCAGTGCAGGGGTCGCTGGGAGTTCTGAGGTCAAGCCTGCAGGTCGGGGTCGGGTGAGGGACTACACTGTTCTTCACCCATCCTGTGTGTCTGTGTGTAATGTGACCATACAGGACTCTATTGAAAGGAGCGTGGATGATTTTGTCACCCCAGTGCAAGCTGACATGGGAGAGGCGGGAACCTTTAGGAGGAAAACGGACACACAAATTGCCAAGCCTACCAGGTACAAATCAAGCCTTTTTATTTGCATTTGTAAATTGTTTTATTAGGGTGATATTGGAAAATCAGTGGTTATGTATTTAAATTGTGCTAATCACAGTATATATATATATATATATATATATATATAGTTTAAGTGTGTATATATACATTGTTCTTATATATATATATATATATATATATATATATAAAGAGTAGGGTTTTATATAATATGTATTTTTAAAAATGATCATTTATAATATATTTATTATAATTTACTTAAATTTATATTTTTTAACTTCAGTTATTCAAATGTGAAAATTTGTATTTTTATACTCTTTAAATAAGTTTGCAAAGCTAAAGTGCACTAAACATTTTTGTTTTATTTCAATTTGGAAATTCCACCATATAATATCAGAGGGTTTTGACTTTCTGACATAATTTATTGCGTTGTAATATTACAAACTAAATATTATTAACTAACTCCATTGAAACCCTTTTTTGTCCTGGTCTTATTTTGCAGTGCATGGTCTTTTATTGCAATTCTACGGAGCCCCTAAAGGGACATGGTGGTGGCAAAAAATTTAGGATGGGAGAATTTTTTTTGTGTTTCCTTGCAAAACTTTTGCGTTCCCTCTGAAAACTTTTGTGTTCCCTCGCAAAGATATTTGCGTTCCCTCGCAAAACCTGTTGTGAGCTCGGACAGACACTTCTTGTTTAATGTCCCCTGGCAGTGTTTCAGAGCACCGTACGTTAATGGAGTGTCAATGAACTTGGACTCAAATATAAAGAAATGCGGTCAGTGCTTAACTCAAAGAGTTCAGTGAAGTTGGCAATATATTCACATAGGCTATTCGAACTGGCTATTTAACGTTGTTAAAACACAGATGACACTTACAATCACTGTAACCTAGACAATGAGATACAACCCAATTCTCCTCAAAACAAGCTTTATAATATAAATCTGAAACACTACCAGGGGACATTAAAAAGTTTTGCAAGGGAACGCAAATTTTCTCGAGGGACCGCAAAAGTTTTGAAATTTTTTTTTTTTTTTTTTTCCACCACCACGTCCCTTTAGGGGCTCCGTGCAATTCTGCCTATAACTATCAGCTCAATTATACATGGATTAATGTGTTTTATGGTATTGAAAATTGTAGAACACAAAAACACTTGTTTATTCTGTATTTCTTTTTTCATCCTACTTCTTTTTTTTAGGTTCAGACCCACTCAGAGTAAAAGCAAAAAGGAGACGAAACTGGAGTTTTTTGGCTTTGAGGCTCAGGCCACAGATGGAGACGCCACTGCATCTGGGAGCACCAGCTACAAGATCAAATACTTTGGTTTTGACGAGCTGAGTGAGAGTGACAGCGAGGATGAGGACGACTCAGCAGCTAAAGAAAGAAGGAAGAATAAGAAGGCAGCAATGGAAGCTTTGGCCACCCGCACGGGCAGTCCCCAGTTCAACGACTCGCAGGAGAGTCAACAGAGTCAAAGCAGCCTAAATACAGGTACTCACAAACACGCTTTCTCATAAATCAGTCCCTCCAGAAAAACGCGATTATGCGATCACATAATTTAGTGCATAATCAGCCAATGTCCTCATATTTATGCGGGAGCTGCATTTTTTCAAATACGCCTCACTTTGGTTGGGTAAATTGTTGATTTCCGTGCAAAATATGCGGGGCTTGCATGATTTCATTATCCTCACATTTTCGTGGCAAAAAAAGTCACAAATTTCTTAGCAGAAAGTTGAAAAATGTTGCGTTTGCGTCACACGAGAGCAGCCATTTCGCACTGTTGCCATGGGAATGTTATGAAGTGACGTAATTATGTGACGTGAACATCATTGAAAAGCTGTAAAACAGGAGCACACTATCTTTCATTTATTCATTTTTACAGAAGTTGTAGCATATTCCTTTAGTAAAGCTACAGAACTTGTTTGACTCATCACTGAAGTTGCTGAAGTTATTGCTTCCTGCAAAAGGTCTGTCTGACCTCTGCGATTGGCATCTCACAACTCGCACTTTATTCACAAATCAAACTATTATAACTGTCTGTCACACGTTCTACCGTCCACATCGTTACTTAATAAACAAAATAAGATAAAAGCCCACATAGGGTGTTCGAGGCCCATGGCAATATAATACTGCGGACAGTTCAACCGGGAGCGCGCAGCTCTTAAAGGGGCCACACCTTATTTCCACTCATTACAGTCTGAAATAAAACAAGATGAGAAATTAAATATTCCCAGCACTTTCTGTGATGTATTATGCTTTCTTATCACAGGAAGTAATAGGAAATGACTCTTTACATTAAGGTAGTAGCCTAGTGAGAACAGGGTGTTGGGGGAATTACTTTTTTTTTTTCTCTCTTTTTCATCAAACCCCAGTTTTTGCAAGTTTCTGCAATTTCACTGCATAAAATTGCACAAATATCCCGCATATTCTATTGCATTTTTAAAGAAAACGGGCCACATAATCAAGGATTTTTGCTCGCGACAATCACAAAAAAAACTCTGCGTTTTTCTGGAAGGACTGATAAATGCACAATTTCATCTTTTCATTTTTAGCGAGATGGGAAATTTAAGGGGTTATTATAAATAATGATCATTTGTAGAGCAATCTCTGGATTCATGCTGGGTTCTTTTTCTCTACCTATTGTCAGATTCGCAGGAGTCGCTGGATGAGATGGAAGCTTCCGGCTCACAGAAGGAACGACATGGAAAGCAAACCGACAAGTCAAAGGAGATCGGACGCAAGATCTTCAGTGGGCCAAAAAAAGTATGGCTAAAAAAAATTAAACAGAAGCAGATTAACTTTATCAAAAAGCTACATTTTTATTTAATTGTTTTATGTGTTTTTAATCCAGTCTCCTGCTAAAGCAGTATATAATGCTCGTCATTGGAATCAACCCGAGCCTGAGGAAGTGCCTCATCCTGCTGCCTCTCAAACTGTGGCTGTGGCTGTACCTGTACGTAAAATACTCCATTCATGACCTCTGAACTGTATACCCTGACATTTTCTTTTCCTTTGTGCACTATAATGTTGTTTTATTTATATTTATTTCATTTATTTATATATATATATATATATTTTTACAGAAGGCCAGTGTGTCCAGCAGCAGCAAAGATACAAATTCCCATAAAGATGATGGAGTGTTTAAAGCTCCGCCCCCTCCTCCTAAAGTCATTAAGTCTGTCACTATTCCCACTGTGCCATACCAAGACATCGTCACTGCACTAAAATGCAGGACGGAGCACAAAGAGGTGAGCACTGCACTCTGGGAAATAATGTGAATGATTCTTTCTGTAATGTGGTCACTTAAACCAGTGTTATTTTAGTATTATTTATATACTACAGAGCTGCACGATTCTGGATAAATTGAGAATCGCTATGGTTTTTGAATGCAGTTAACGGTCCTGAATAGACAACTAAATTTTAATTGCTCTCTTGCTCATTTTAATGTTCTGCTGTGATCGTACATTGTAAAGGTTTAATAGACATTTCGTTCCAAATCGTTGACATTTAGGAATAAGATGGCAGGGGTGTTTGAATTGAAATCGCAATCTTTTAAAGGGTAACTAAACCCCTGGTCAGAGCCAGACTCCACCCACTGGCAATATTTGAAAATGCTGAAAAAGTGGTCTGACCCCAGTGGAGATAGAGGGGACGAAATAGATGCTAAAACACTCTATCCTGATCGTTTTCAATACTCACAATTCCAATTCCTGACTCCCTACAGTGGTTTTGATGACACAAGATGGTTTTTATATTGCCAAGGGCGTAGCTCGCGTGGTGAGCTGAAACGTGCGTACGTCACGAAGTGCAGAACATCCAATAGGAAAATTCAACTGCAGTAGCCACCGTTCAACCTGAAGAGGGCAGCACTAAGACGTTTTTACACCATATATTGAAGAAATAAAACACTTTATAAACAAATGACAAAAAAGTTACTCGAATCAATGACTGGTATTAATAAAGATCCATTCTTACAGATCATTAACTAAAAAAAGTTGGTTAAGTGTTTAGTTACTCTTTAACGATTCATTGTCCAGTTATAAAATATACTATTAGAGCATTTATTCATATTTTTATTTGGCTTTTATGTTTATATTTTCAGTTTTCAAAGCAGCATTTCTAATTTTCATTCAAGTTTTTCCATCTAATTTTTATGTTATTTAATCTTTATTTCTATTAACAAAATATGTTTTTAGTCAATAATAACAACACTAACTTTAACAAAAGACATGCTTATATTTTAATGTTTATTTCTTGTCCTGTGTGTGTGTGTAGTTGTACACAGTGGTCCAACATGTGAAGCACTTTAATGATGTGGTGGAGTTTGGGGAGAATCAGGAGTTCACTGATGACTTTGAGTATCTGGAGACGGGCCTGAATAGCACGCAACCCCTCAACACACGCTGCCTTAGGTAAGACAAACACTCGGGAAGGAGTGTTTTGCGTAATTTGCATATAACAACCTCATTTATATGTGCCCCAGCTTTGAAAGGTTAGCTCAGCCAAAAATGAAAATTTTCTCACTTTTGTTGAAACATGTATCTCCTTTTATATTTTCATTTTATTTCAGTTTTAGCCTTTTTTTAGTCTCGGAACCCCCACATTTTTAAGAAGAATTTTAAATTCTCAAAGACATATTTATAACACACAACCACTAATCGTTTTTTCCCCTCCATTTTTGACTGCAGTATAATCAGTCTGGCCACGCGCTGTGCGATGCCAAGTTTCCGCATGCACCTGAGGGCCAGAGGGAAGGTGGCCCAGGTCTTTAAGATGCTCAGTGATGCCCAAAAGCACCCAGTGAGTTTCTCATGCATTACCTAACCATCAATCCAAAAACCCAAACTGTCTTTAATTTACCAACAAACTAACAAATCTGCGTAACCAAGCATCCTTCTAAACAATCACAGCTCTATCATTATGAACACAGCTACAATGCTGTGTGGAACAACAGTTTGTTTACTTCATTAGTATACATTAATTGGAGATGTAATCATCTCCGCCGACAGACGAGGGAGAAATGCAAACAGACGCTTAGCCGTTACTCTGTAAATCTCGTTAGTTCAGTTTACACAGATGGTGCACAATGTTTGCCTTGACTCTTTCGGCTTGACTAGTATTTATTTTTGTATTGAAGGATGTTCAGTAAAAAAATAAACTAAATCCATTTAATGAGTCAAGACAGATGTTTAGAAGCAATAATTCACAAGAGGCTTTGCCTTACAGTAAAGGGGATGTGTTTTTATTAACCAAAGTTTTTGCTTTTAGTTAATTTCTGTTAGCTTTCGAGGTCATTTACATGCTGGCGTATAAGTTACTGTCAGATGTTTGCAATGTTTTCCTTCTCTCTCTCTCCCTCGTTCTTATGGTGCTGGTAGAATCTGGCTCTCTGCACAGCGTCTCTGATGTACATACTGAGCCGAGACCGGCTGAATATGGATCTGGACCGTTCCTGTCTGGAGCTGATGATCAGGCTGCTGGAACTAGAGCAGGATGACTCTGTAGCGGACCAGTTAACAGCCAAAGAGATGAGCAGAGTTAAAGAGAAGATCCGCAAACTCTGCGAAACAGTCCACAACAAGCATCTGAACCTGGAGAACATCACAGTGAGTGAATCCTGTATGAACGTAAATGAGTAGCAAGGCTTGTACAATAAATGTTCATATTTGTACTAGGGCTGGGTATTGAGACAAATTTCACAATTCGATTCGATTTCGATTCACAAGCTTGCAATTCGATTACGATTCGATTCAATATCGATTATTTTGGATATCAGTTACAATAAATGGCAATTTTTCTCAAGGGAATCAAATCTCTTAAATGCTGTAAACTATGGGTCTAGTTGTAGCCTACTACTAGGCTTCATTAGCCTAATATGAAGGTAATAATGAACTGTTTTGTAGCTATACAAACAATTAAATTACACTTTTATTTATTTTTATAATAAGAAGATTATAAGAAATATAAACATTTAAATGGTGGCTGTCAAAAACTTGCCAGATTTATTCAAATATGCATTAAATATTGAAGAACATTAAGATTATAATGCATATGTAATATGGTGTATATAAAGTATTTAGCAAAATGCTCCTCTCTGGAGTTTTTTTTCTAGCTGACTAATGAGTTTATGTGGGTTTTCTGAGGTAAATATGACGATACATGACATTGATTACAAGCTGTTTAACCGACGTCTTTCCACGGTTGAAACGCTGATTGAGCGAATCAATGTGACATGATACGGATTTCGATAAGTTGTACTCTATCTTTTAACACACTTTTAGATGCTCATTCATGTTTATTTCGCGCTGTGACTGGTATTATTAACCCGGAAGTGAAACCCGCTGCTGTTTCTCTTGAGCTGAGCCAGAGCGATCTCACGCCACAGTGCCAAAACGCTATTTATGTTTTAGAATTTCTAAAGAAAATGGATGTAATTTGGAAATTGAGACTTTGTTTCATATCAATAGTAACAAAGGACAAAGATTATTGCGATTTTTTTTTTTGTTTGTTTGTTTTTTTTTTTTTTTTTTTTTTGGATGCGCGGAGCTGCGATACTAGACTTATCGATTCTTGAGATTTAAGAATCGATATCGGTTCGTAAAAATGAGAATCGATTAATATCGAGAAATTGATATTTATTACCCAGCCCTAATTTGTACACTAAAATTTACACTCACAGCTACAATGTGAAAACCTGTAAATACAAATCTGAAGTTGAATGGTGAGTTGTACAAGTACAAATAATTATTGTAGTAAGTTCTCAAATTCGCATCTACATGCTCTTGAGTTTTGCTACTCTTTTATCTTCATTTACATTTACACGTCAGAACCGAACCAGAAAACCCATGAGTATTTGAGAAGAAATGTACTTTCAGTCACCTTGGCTTTGTTCAGCCAGGCAGCAGAAATCTGTTTTTGTTTTTAGTTGTTTGTAGTCTGAACGGCAAAGAAAGCATATGAAATCAAATGCTGTGTTTGCTACTTGGGCTTTTTATTTCAGAAAGGGTTTTCCTTTATAAACATTGAATATTTTACATACACTACAGTTCAAGTCTCATATGCTCACCAAGGCAGCATTTATTTGATGAAAAATACAGGAAACACAGAAAGATCAAAATAACAAAAGGGTCAATGCTTTTATTGTATGTGTACATTTTTTAATTGGGGTTCCAGAACTGACAGGCTTTTTAGAAAAAAGGTTTCTATTTATGTCATAAGTTCTGCTTTGGTTTTAAAATCTTTTTCAAAATGCTTTTATTTAAAAAATGTAAAAAAAAAAATAATAATAATTAGCCAGAACCTTTTTTGGAGTTTTTACTTTGTATGCATATCTGCTTGAATGCAAGTCTCCAAACGGTTTCTTTCTGAATCTCAGACAGGTCATTTAGCGATGGAAACGCTACTATCTCTGACGTCAAAGCGAGCTGGAGACTGGTTTAAGGAGGAGCTGCGCTTACTTGGGGGACTGGACCACATCGTAGATAAAGGTACCCTACTTGAGTATATCTGTATTGTACTGTGTACTACTGAATGTACTTTGTTAAAGGAAATGCCTAGAAATGTTGTTTATTTTGGCCTTTAGTGAAAGAGTGTGTGGAGAACTTAAGTAAAGAAGAAGATAAAGAGAGTCTGGTGGCATCACTCTGGGGAGCGGAGCGCTGCTTACGAGTTCTGGAGAGTGTGAGTGGACACCAGATTAATAATTTGAATCGATTTCCTTTAAAGACCTGCAATAATTAAATAACCTGCAGTAATTCAATTATAGCATTGACTATATTGACAATTTAATATGTAATTATGCCGCAGGCCGACAGTCTTCTGATGCACTGTGAATCTAATCAGATTTTAGAAATCACACCAAACAGGATTCAATGATATAAAAGTTAATAAATGCAGGCATAAGCTTATTAACGGATTACAAAATTACTTAAAAATTACCTTTGACAGCCCTTTAAGAAAATGCTTATTTGTGTGCAATTTATTTAAAACCTATGTCTTTCACATCCAGGTTACACTTCACAACCTTGAGAACCAGGCTTATCTGATCGCCTACAAGGAGTCCCAGCTCATAGTGTCCTCAGCAAGGTGTCTGCGTGTGATGATATGGAATGTGTAGTCACAGTGTTGCTTTGTGTAGCAGGATGGTTGTCATTCTGAGATTGTGCTTTGTGTGTGTGTAGGGCGCTGCAGCATTGTGAGCAGATGATACAGCGTTACAGCCGAGAGGTCCCTTCATCAAGCTCCGCCCCCCCACACAGTAGTCATAGCAACGTGGGCAAGGCCGTGGAGGATTGTATGAGAGCCGTTATCGGAGTTCTGCTCAACCTCACACATGATAACGGTGAGACATGTAACAAAGAATTTTTAAGCCTTGCTCAACACATACTGGAGAATGAAGGAATATAAAATAACTGTAATTTTATTAATGTAATAAAAAGAATGAAATGTAACACTCTGTGACCCCTCAGAGTGGGGCAGCACTAAAACAGGTGAGCAGGATGGCCTCCTTCTGACCGCTCTGGACTGCGTTCTTAAGGTCCCGCGTTATTTGCCTCAGGAGCAGAGATTCGACATCCGTGTCCTGGTGAGATAGTTTCTCTTCTTAAAAAGAATCAAATAAGTTAAGGCTGTTGGTCTATTCAATTTTTTTTTTTTTTTTTTTTCTAGCATCCTATAATTTCTCACAATGAATCACACCTGACATTTTTGTAATCGTAAATATATTTCTAGAATCATATATTTTTGTAATTATACGTATATTGAATCTCCTAATTAATGTGGAAATGATACAAATATGTAAAATATCAAATATTTAAAATTCTGTCTTTGATAAATATTAAGTATTTGTTTAATTTGTTAAAGGGCTAGTTCACCCAAAAATGAAGATTATGTCATTAATGACTCAACCTCATGTCGTTCCAAGCCCGTAATACCTCCGTCCATCTTCGGAACATAGTTTAAGATCTTTAGATTTAGTCCGAGAGCTTTCTGTCCCTCCATTTGAAAATGTGTACGGTATACTGTCCTTGTCCAGAAAGGTAATAAAGACATCATCAAAGTAGTCCATGTGACATCAATGGGTTAGTTAGAATTTTTAATGGGTTTAATGGTTAGTGCTTTATTTTTAAGGTTTGAGGGTAAGAATCGTGTAAAAGAATAAGAAAAAAATCCCTTATTTTGGGGATGGATTCTGGGAAATCTCCCTTATTTTCTCTGTTCAATGTTGACAGTTATGTCTGTTTACAAGCAATGTCAGCACTTCATCTTATACAGTAGGTGGCGGTAATACTTGTAAGCAGTGAGCAGCTAGTAACAAGAAGTAGTAGAAGAAGAACGTCCTCTTCTCAGTTCTCGCGAATAAAGTCGAATTCAGTCGAATAAAGTCGTTATTTTTTATTTTATTTTTCCCGCACAAAAAGTATTCTCATCACTCGATAAACTTATAGTTGAGCCACTGTAGTCACATGGAATATTTAAACTTTTTATTCAATGACTTTCTGGGCCGTCGAGTTTCAATCCCTTAGGAAGCCTATGGAGGTGTGATCCAGCTCTCAAATTTAATCAAAAATATCTTCATTTGTGTTCCGAAGATGAACGAAGGTCTACAATAATTAATTACTTAATTTTCTTTTTTGGGTGAACTATCACTTTAAGGTTTTTTAGATGTTTTTATGTATCATCATTTACATTCACTGAAGCCAACTGTCAGAGTTTGTACTACTTGACAGGTATTGTTATTTAGTGTAGTGTCTGGTTAGTACTGGTGTCAGGACGTGTGCCGAAACTTGAATATGAATGGGTGTGCGCAGGGTCTTGGTCTGCTGATAAATCTGGTGGAGTACAGTGCCAGAAACAGACACTGTCTGGTGGAGATGGAGCTGGATTTGAGCTATCTGATGGAGACGGGGGTACACGTGAAGACAGAGAACGACGTGAAGACAGAAGGAGAGGAGGAGAGTGAGACGGAGGGCGAGAAGGGACCTACGACACTAAAGTCGTCAAACGCCCTGGCTGCTCTGGTTCAGGTGACTAGCAGGAGTCTCCACATTTGACCTGATAAGATGGCCTGCTTCAAGTGTTTATCCTTAAATCTGATAAATATTAGCCAGTTAATACAAGCGTTTCTGTGTGAGCAGCTCTTCCTTGAACGGGAGCAAGCAGCTGTGCTAGCTGAGGCGCAGACTGATGATCTCATAAGTGAGGCACCCAAACCTCAGGCAGACCAGAGCGGAGAGTGGAAGGAAACATCCGGAGAGATCCAGTGGGTCGCCTCGGAAACCAATGACACCAATGAAACAAATGACAAGAAAGAGGAGGAGGAAGAGGAGCTTGACCTCAATAAAGGTACCACTTATTCACTAATGATTTGACAATATACAACAAACCCTTTTCATGACTTGTTTGGATTTAACTTGTTGCAGTCACATTAAGAAATCTGTGAATCTTATCTGAAATTTCGTATAAGGCAAAATATTTAATATTTTATATTTATACCATTGACAGTGGACCATGAATGAATGCATTTATTGTCATTGCATTTATTACAGTGAAATTTTAGAACCACTAGAAAGCTCCACATTTCTTTTCCATAAATGACTCATTTTAAATTCACATTCACATCTTTCCAGGGGTGAAGTATCCCTTTTATTCTATTTTTTTTTTCTGATGCAAGACTTTTATTTTGAAAGTTAAGTAAAGCATTGTTCTGATTCAGTATCTGCTGTCAGATGAGATATTATCAGGCTATATGTCAGTGTCATTATTCTAACATTATTTTCTTAGCTAAAAAGTAAAGGTAGATAAAAGGTAGGGTTTTTTTTAGATAAAATGTCTCTTGCCTCAAAATGTGGGTTGCAGCTTAATGATGATCCATGGGTCCCATGATGAAACCTGTTGAGAACCAGTTGTTTACTAAAGGGCTTTTATTTTAAAATGAGCTTTTATGCAAAATTCCTGTCTTTCTTTTTCAGCCCTGCAGCATGCTGGAAAACACATGGAGGACAGCATTGTGGCATCATACTCAGCTCTTCTGCTTGGGTGTCTATGTCAGGAGAGTCCGGTGAGCATCACTTCCTGTCACTCTTTATTTAGGTGGTTAGTTGGTTAGTTTTGAACCAAAAAGGATTTTATTTTTTGACCGTGATCAACAACAAAAAAAAGTAAAATAAACAAAATTTCTACGAATTGGTCACTTTATTGCAGTTGTTTAATATAAAATAATAATTTGCATAAGTATTCAAGTATACAAGAATACTGTAGATGTAACTTCAGCTGTGTGGATTGGGTCTCTACAATTTTTCTTCTGCTGCTTCAGTTCGGTCAGGTAGGTTGTGTGTAGATTGTGTGTAGAAAATACTCTTTCTTAAGCCTTCCTGGGTCTGATGCAGAGAAGCTTTATTCAAGCTTTATTAGTTTTATTCAACAAGAATGCATTTAATTGATCAATACATTTATTATATGACAAACTAAATAAATAAATGTATTTATAAATGTATATGTTACTGTATTTTTTATTCTAAACTGTTTTAATTATTTACTGCATTTTTATTATACTGTATTTTTAATTATTCGGATTTCTTTTGATTATTTTAATTTCTTCTATGTAAAGCACATTGAATTACCATTGTGTATGAAATGTGCTATATATATAAACTCGCCTTGCCTATATATATATATATATACACATACACTTAAACATACAGTGCTTGGCATAAGTGAATAGGCACCACAACTGTTTATCATTGATAATAATAAATGTTTCTGGAGCACCAAATCAGCATATTAAAAATTATTTCTGAAGGATCATGTGAGACTGAAGACTGGTTAATGATGCTAAAAATTCAGCTTTTGCTGAGAAGGGGCACACTCGACTCCCAAACCATTTATGGGTGCGAGTTACAAAGAAGTAATCAAATAAAGATGAAAAAACGCTCTCTCTGGTGATATCTCATATATTTATTAATACCATCTCCACACAGTCGCGTTTCAGCCTAAGCCATCATGTTGGCTTAGGCTGAAACACGTCTGTGTGGACATGGTATTAATAAATATGAGATATCACTAGAGAGTGTGGTTTTTCATCTTTTTTTTTTTTTGAAAATTCAGCTTTACCATCACAGGAATAAATTAGATTTTAAATTATTTACTTGCAGTAATATTTAGCGATTTAGTGATTTACTGTATTTAAAATAATAATAATAAATGCAGCCTTTGTGAGCATAAGAGACATCTTTCAAAAACATTTTAAAAAAGACTTACCGACCGACCTCAATCGTTTGAATGGTAGCGTATGATAATGACATGAAAAATGAAAATGCAATTTATAATAATTGATGAATGCTTTAAAAAGAATGAAAGAGTTTATTAAAAAAAAAAAAACGTTCTTGTTAAAATATTTAAACTAAATTCAAATGTAATTAAAAATGAATATGTTCTATCTCTTTCTTAGATGAATGTGAAAACCGTACGGGAAAATCTTCCTAAGGGAGATTTCTCTATCATGGCTGAAATGCTGAAGAAATTCCTTAATTTCATGAACCTGACGGTAAGTACCACAATGATATGAAACATTTTGCTCCTTGCATTCCACATTTAAAAATGGCAAGTGTTACAATATTTTACTGACCTTTGAATATTACAGCATGACAAAAATGTACAACCCAGTTTGTAAGTAAAAGATGATTAATTGTAGTGCAAATTCTGCACATTACTTGCATGGGATCATGAAAAAAAGCATCCAAAAATTGTTTTAGGGATCATAAAAAAAAAAAAATACATTTTAAAATAAATTGCAATTAAATTAAAAGCACTTATTTAAATTGCAGTAATATTTAGTGATATTAATGTTTTACTGTATTTAAAAAAAATCCAGCCTTTAAAAGACTTCAAAAACATAAAAAAAAAAAAAACTTCCAAAAAGGGTTTGGAGGCAAGTAATATTTTAGAAATGAAAGGCATTTTTCCTACCCTGAATGTATCCCTCTTATTTGAACACTCTGTTTGAAGGGGCACGACTACTGTGAGACTTCTAACATCTTTGCATATGAAATAGCTGCATCACATGTGGAACTCTCTAAAACTTTGAGCATGTTTTTATTCCAAAATCCAGCACCAGAAAGATTAAGAAGCGACTCTTTTTCCCCAACTGGCACTGCACAACATTTTGCACTCTTCAAAGGCATGTTTATTGCTCGATACAGTCAGTGTTTAGCGCTACATATATTGTTTGCCTACTACCTGTCCACCCATATATAATAAATTGTCACATCCAGACAGTCTTGGTTTCAAGAAAAGCTGGTTTTAATAAAAACAGGATATTCGAGCCCGTTCTCATCCTTTGGCGTCATATAGGTGACACCATATGACATTTCGTCGAAATACTACTCACATGGCACCCTTTAGCATCAATATAACACGTAGAACCCAAGGCGTCATACAGGTAATTGGCATCGTTTAGCATCAATATAAGACCCAGACCTAAACCTACCCATAACAGTGCGTGTTATATTGACGCTAAAGGGTGCCATGTGTGTAGTATTTCGACGAAATGTCGTATGGCGTCACCTATATGACGCCAAATGATGAGAATGTGTTGGATATTCTCATAGTGTGATGGCCTCTTAGATGTCAAAAGCTCAAGGAAAATTAGATTTCTCAATTCATGACCCCTTTAATGCGACCAGATCTCAACTGGATAGCAATCTGGCCAGTGACATTTAAAACCAGTGTTTTACTTGTCTCTTTTCTTTCATATCACACAGTGTTCTGTTGGAACCACAGGACAGAAATCTATCTCACGGGTGATTGATTATTTGGAGCACTGTTAGCAGAGATGTGTCGCAGTTCCCCCTCTTCCGTGGGATAACTCTGGACCTGGCAACGTGCCTTAGGCCCTTCAGGACAAGAGGCAGCAGTTAAGGTGGTTAAGCGTCGCTACTGTCACGTCGCCTGAGCGACTCACTGCAGAGACTTTTGTTTCCCCCCTCTTTCTTTTTGCTTGTTTTTACATTGTGTGTTTTTCAAATGCTGTCTTTCTCTCCCATGCTCTCTCACACACTCACTCAGTGGTGTGTTTGCATAATATTTGGTTTTTGAAGCACTGATCCCCATGTAAAACAAAAACTAAACTGTGCGATTTTAAGCTAGTTGTCCTTGCTTGTATTGTAAAGATTTACACTAAACCTAACTTATTGATATTTCAAACCCTGAGGTCTGAGGCGTTGTTCACAGTTTTAGGACTGACTGTTTGCACACGATGTTTGTTCAGACAGTGCAGTCGGTATCCCTTGTATTTACATCCGTAATGATGTAAGCATTAGCACAATCCCAAAAGACTTTCTCATACATCAACTGATAGTTTTAGAAACTGGAACGCCTCTTCTCAGGACCTAATTTATGAATATACTGCGCCCCAAAACTGGTGTTTACACACACTACCATTTAAACATCTCTTATGCTAACCAAGGGTGCATTTATTTGATCAAAAATACAGTACACCAGTGCTAATTTAAAGGAGAAATTGGTGCTCAAGAAATATTTATTATTATTATCAATTGTTGAAAACAGTAGTGCTGCTTAATTTTGTGTGGAAAATTCCAGGATTCTTTGATCAGCGTTGAACAGCATTTATTTGAAATGGAAATCTGTTTAAAATGATGTCTTTTACTGTCACTTTTTCATCAATTCAATGCATCCTTGAGAAATTAAATTATTAATTACTTCGGAGAAAAAAAATCGTACAAACCCCAAACGTTTGAACGGTACATGTTGCATCCCAAATGAAAAATATGTTCAAGTGCAAATCCGATCATACTGTTCAGACAGATGCGTGCCACATGGATGTGGTGTAGATCAGGTTTTTGACTGCAAAAAAAAAAAGAAGAAAATATTGTTTCCGGTCTGAAGCAAGTCTAAGATGCCTGATACCAAAGATAAACGCAAACATGAAAACAAGTTGAATTTTCTTGTCCCGCTTAAAGAATGTTGTTTTACGACAATGTCATTGTTTCTTTCACATGAATTGATTGACCAACTATTATGATTAATATCTTTACCATGATAACAGCAAGAAATGTTGATGATTTTACCTGGATATGTGGGAAGGATTGTAGAGGTCTCTGGTTTCTTTGATCATCCTCTGGCTTCTGTAGTTTTAGTTTTTCTCCATGTGAAGAATCATCACCTGACATTACAAATGATTTTTAAAAAACAGATTACATTTTTTTTGTTTGTTTTTAATCTATTTTAGTTTTGTAGTCTGGGCTGTGTGAGGCCCATTGTAATGTTAAAAAAGGAAAAAAAAGACAGCACCTGAAAAGTGTTTTCAATGTGTTTTAGCGTGTTAATGAATGACTTATCATCTGTTAATTTAATTATACTCTGATTTTAATATAATAGAACAATTGAGATTTATTGTTTTAGAATTGTTTTTCTTTACTTTTTGATGTTATTCAGGAAAATGTTTCTCCATTGTTTTTTGTTTTTACTTTATCCCGTGTGTCTGCAGAATGACTGGAAGCTGCTTAAAGGTCTTAGATTGATCAAAAAAGAAAAGAAAAAAAAAAAGCAGTGCATCATTTTTCAGACTGAGTTAAGCAAAAGTGTCCTCTATTCCTTTCAGATCTTTACTGAAGCAGAGCCATATGGAGTAAAGCTTGTTCTATTCTGTAAAACTGAAGCAAGTTTTACGACAAGTTAATTTCCAGATCTGAAATTTTTCTTTTTTCATTGTAAATATTTCTGTACATATTTGATGTTAGACTGCTAGAATACTTCCAAATCACCAAACCTGAATTTTGTTTATTTTATACTTCTTCCCCCCACCCACCTTTATTGCATTATTTTAGATAAAGGTAAAAGTACAATTACAAGAAATATATAAATATTATATATAAATATATATATTAAAGGACAAACAATTTGTACCATTTTCCAGGATGTTGTCTTTGGTTACAATGTAAATAATTTTACCTTGAATAAATACTTGCTACTTTCAATGCTTGTCTGAGTCATTCCATCCTACATGGTGAGAATACAACCATGTTTAGAGACTCCCTGAAATCTGAATACAAGGTTTTTGACTTCTGGTCATTACTTAGAGCATCTTAGTGTACTGACAAAATTCACTGCTATTGATGTATAGACAAATTTGTGCTTGGAAATCAGACCATAACTATTGATGATGACATCCTGTGCAAGTCATATTAAATGCTCTCCATAATATAATACCACCTACAACCTCCAGGGCTTATATGTAAATATCTTTTTATGTATTTATGAAAACACGTTTTATATTCATTGCAATTTGTTTAAAATGTAGATAAAGATTTATTTTAAATGCTGGGACTTTCTGCACGACCACAGCAATTTAACACAAAAAAGAAAAGACATTCACCTTTTCGACAGAAAGTCGTATCTTGTGATCTCTGAATGAATGTTGTCTTTAATGTGCTCAAGGCCTTTGTATAATATGTGCTGCCTTGAGTGTGTCTATATATGCTGACCGCTCAACTTGAAGGTCAGAATTGTATTGACACCATTTAAAAATGTTTGAATATTTTTGTCTTAAAGCACATCTGCGAGAAACAGATTTCGGCTTATTCTGTCACGATGCAAGTTTTCCAAACAATCTGTTTCACCTTGTGACATTCTCAGTTTAAGTTCTGTTTTCGACAGTTGCCACAGCTGGTTTCCAGAAGAGGGCACTACTACTCAGCTTCATGTCTTTCTGAAATGTGTTTTTTCTTTTCTTTTCCTTTCTTCCTGTAGGCTCTTTGCTTAACTGATATGCTCACCATGAATATCTTTTTTTAAGTCTCCCGTTCTGTTCCGCTGAATACAGTGAAGCTGATTATTAATGCTATTCCACATATTCAGATGAGTTTTTGATTAACAAACCCTATAAAAGTAAGTTTGCTTAAGAAGCTTGACCCACACACCCCATCTCTACCAGGCAGGACATGTTGAGGACACTGATGTTCATTTTCTGAAAGCATCTAGTCCTGATAAGGATTTCACTTCATGCTGATGATCCCTTTAAAGCTACACTGTGTAACTCTTTTAGTTTAATCTTAGCTAGAAACACTTAGTTCTTTCAAAAATATATGTGCTCATTAATGTATATTTACTTCGCTCAAGTAATAAAATATTCTCGTGAGTGTATAATATGCCATTGAAAATACATACGGGTAAGGGGTTTTAAAGGGTTAGTTCACCCAAAAATGAAAATTAAGTCATTAATTACTCACCCCCATGCTGTACCAACCCCGTAAGACCTTCGTTCGTCTTCGGAACACAAATGAAGATATTTTTGATTAAATTTGAGAGCTGTATAACTACCACATTGGCTCCTAAGGGACTGCCTCTTGACGGCCCAGAAAGTCAATGAAGAAAATGTTTAAATATCCCAAGTGACTACCGTGGCTCAACTATATGTTTATCAAGCGACGCGAATACTTTTTGTGCGAAAAAACAAACAAAAATAACGAGTTTATTCGACTATTCCTTTTCTTCCTTGTAGGCCAGAAACGAGACTTCCTTAGATTTCCACGACGCATGCGCGAGAACTGAAGTAGTGTAAGCAGATCGCAATTCTCGCGCATGCGTCGTGGAAATCTAAGGAAATCTCGTTTCTGGCCTACAAGGAAGAAAAGAAATAGTCGAATAAACTCGTTATTTTTGTTTGTTTTTTCGCACAAAAAGTATTCGCGTCGCTTGATAAACATAGTTGAGCCACGGTAGTCACTTGGGATATTTAAACATTTTCTTCATTGACTTTCTGGGCCGTCAAGAGGCAGTCTCTTAGGAGCCAATGTGGTAGTTATACAGCTCTCAAATTTAATCAAAAATATCTTCATTTGTGTTCCGAAGACGAACGAAGGTCTTACGGGGTTGGTACAGCATGGGGGTGAGTAATTAATGACTTAATTTTCATTTTTGGGTGAACTAACCCTTTAATGTTGCCCCTCCATCTTGAATGTGCATTAGCCAAAGAGGGACATACCCGTTAATTCAAGCTTCGCCTTTCGCGTTTACGTTCGAGTTAGCGCTCATGGACGAGGTCGAACTGGAAGCCATGTTAATCTTGGACTACATTTGCCAACGTAGGAGTTAAAACGAAATCAGAATTGAGTGGAACAGAAACTAATATACTCTGGATGATTATATACCTTTTCACCACTAGATGGGGGTAAAAATCACACAGTGTAGCTTTAACAAATTCTGTTTCACCTACATGTCAACTAACTTGCATTAGAGTGTTAGTCGAGGTAGTAGACTGGTAGGTCAGAATAAGTTCGCTTTAGATAAAAGTGTCTGCAAAATGAATAAATGTAAGTTGACATGTTGTTGCTTACAGTCAGTAGAATGTCTGTTGGGGAGCATCAAAATAAAGTTTTATCCTGTTAAGACTCAAGAATACCTTGCACATCGCTGTGCAGAACGGAGAGGTGGAGGTTACAGCATGACACTCAGCAGCAGGACTGGTTTGGATCAGATATTGTGCTGCAGGGCCCGAGGCTTGTTCTGCCCTGCTTCTCACTGGAGGGTCACCTACTCCAGGGTTCAACAGTAGAAGTCCTCCCAGGCGCTGTTTGTTCTCTCTGCACGGTGTAGCAGCTGCGATGCGTTTTCGTGTCATAGCATTGACGTATATGGATTTCTAGAGCTCTGTTAGGCTCATATTCTTGTGAAATATATTATTGTGAAATTGAGAAGTCACCATGAAAATAAAATGGACACTTATTATTATTTTTTAATGGAATATTGTAGTATTCATTATAAATAATTTAATCGTGAACATCATTATTATTTTTTAATTCATGTGGCCCCGTAATCTTTTAGTAAAATAACTTCTCCTCCCTCTTGCACCGACATCTGTTCTCTTCACTGATGACGTGTTTACTGGCATGAGGGCGAGACAACCAAGTCATTCGCAAGGGGGTAGGCATAGCTTTGGAAGGGATTCTCTGACACAGTTACGGAATCGCTATCAAGAGATTTAGGAAGCACAATGTTTAAAACCTAGAGCTGCTATTGACCGTTTGTTCATGGCGCTCCTAAAAAAAAAGAAAAAGTCTCACGGGAGCCGCCATTGTAGCAGAACTTCACCTGCTGTTAGCATCCCATTGACTCCCATTCATTTTGGCATCACTTTGACTGCGAATAACTTTACATGTGAGGTGTCCAAAGACTTAATTAGTCCATTATTTATTTCTAAAGAAACACGACAATGCATAAAATGTTCTATTACTTTGTATCTTACATTACGGCCCCGTAGAAGCAGTTTTTGTAAAAATAGGCTAAAGATTGCGTCATAACGAGTTTCTGATGCACAATAGAGACATTACCGTATAGACAGGAGGAGAAGCTCGCAGGCAATCCTTTACTGTGTATGAGGCAACTGGGGGGACATGGAGGCACAAAGTCAAGGGAGAAGCCCACAGATAGAGAGTCCATAAAAGCACTGGGACAAAATATTTCAATGTTTTTGAGGAATTAGGTGATTCTGATTTGTTTGGCACAGCTACTAGAAGATTTTCAATCATCAGACTGTCGTCACGCTCAGTTTGAGCCTGCACAGTCGCTCAGATATCAGACAGGTGCAATAATCGGGCTTCAGTCTTCTCCATTTAAATCAATGGGGTCTCTGTGTCCATTTCTTTTTCTGTCTATGGTTTCTCCCTACGCAGAGTTCACTGATCCCTACTCCCTGAACACGGTACATCAGTTGAAGTGGACTTCGCTGACAACAATCACTCATTTGGAATGCCCTACAACATCATCAAAGAAAGTCAACAACAGATTATGGTATAACTTATTAAAACTTTGCAATTTACTTTCCTTTCTAATTTAAAATCAAATAATAGGCCTATAGATACATTCACCACTCCAACCGTTCATGAATACTCCAGTCTGTATAATAATAACAATATTTATAAATACTCAATAAATACTCAATAAAAACTCAGAGCCATTAGAAATGTAAATGTAAAATCTCTTCGAGCGGCTCTTCTCTATGGTTAGTTCAGACTGGTGACGAGGTGCACAATGACAGTTGGTTGTTTTTCGCTCTCCACTTCCTGTGAAGTGATGTATCGACGTTCCCTTATTCCCTACGCCGTTGGCAGTGCCCTTCGAACTGAACATGTCTGCTCCCTTCGGATTGGAATTTCACTTAAGATGGTGAAATACCCTGTGAAGTCCACTTCGCAGTCCACTTACTGTCAAATGGAACGCACTGCATGTCGTAATTAACGTCAATAAAGTTGTATGCTTTCGTGGTACTTTGATGTCATTCACCGATCTGTCTCCACAGCGCCACTTTAAGGCAAACACACCTTAAATCTGCAGTGGTCAGATGGTGCAAGTCGTAACTCTCCAAATATTATAAGTATGTGTGCTGTAATTACAAGTTCATCAAGTACATGCAGGCTTTTTACAGTTCAGAATCGTTACGGTAATTACGAAATGGCGTAAACGCACATTGATGAGATAACAGCAAAAGCAAACCACAACCATCAAATGATCGAGTCACTTCCTGATGGACAAAATCTGGAAAATCCCACAATTCATATTATCTTTTTCTAGAAACAACTTCATTAGTCACAATATCCATCACAATATGGAAAAAAAGACTATCACAGCTCACTGAGGTTGTTTTCGCAATCATTAAGCTGCTTAACATAATCTTGAAGTTAAAGTAATCGTTAAGCGACTCCATTGTGTGATAAAATATACATTAAAGTAGAGCTGAGAAACATTACCATTCCATTGAATGCCATGATTGACTGAGATAATGATGTGAGTTGTATCGTTTCACCTTCACAGTCGTAATATGATAAACCCTGTAACAAACATAAATAATTGTCAATTTAAATAAATAACAGGCCAACAATATTTTCTCATAGTCTTTCTCAGGGATTTAACAACGACTAAAAAAGTGTCCCTGCTGATATAATATCTTGCATAAACAGATAAAATACTACTTTAGCCAAACTTAAATATCAGTTAATGTATAATATATAATATCAGCCAATCTTAAAGCCTCACTGGGCTTGGTTAGATCTGAGGTAACATTTACCAATTCTAAAATCCTTAAGAGATAAAATACAGACTAAAATGTCACTGTTTTTAAATATTTTCTGAGTGGTATGAGAGGATTTTGGTCGCACATAGAATTTTTAGCTGGCTCCCTCTATGGAAATTGATTTGTTATATTTTTTTTATTTTTTTTTAATGAACTACAAATGTTTGAGCATGATTTTCTTGATTTATTTGGTAAAACAGGTGTCTATTTCCATTGAAAAAAGGGAATCAATCACATATGTTTTCAAAGCAGATCTGATAAAAGACTATAATGCTCCTAATTAGAAATGTAGATAAATCGGAGGTAATTATGTTATTTATCTGTGAGTGGATACAGAAAGACCAATATGAGACATGCTGTTAAACAGTTGTCAATCACAGTAGACTACAGGCCGTCTGTCAAACTTTTTCTCTCTCATTTAGTGAGTTTGTTGTCGTAATTGACCAATGGCTAAGCCTCCTCTCACTCGGACAAACAGTCAACATTCGGGGACAGGTGCTATGGCAGGTGTCACAGTAAGAGACATTTTACAGAAGGCAATTGGTGATTTTTGGAGACAGAAAGATTATATATCATCTCGAAGTCACCTAAAGGGCCTTAACTATGCATTGGAGGGTTATATTAATAATTTTAGTTGAGAAGGTCGATTAAAAGCTTCAGCTCCAGGCAAAAATGTACAGGTCACAGTGTAAACGTGATAAACCGCATATTGTTGCCATCACCGTTTGGTGCTACAGTATTTACATGAATCATTCAGACAGACAGCAAACTGACATTGAATCAACGTGGAAACGACGTCTCTCATGACATTGATCTGGCATTGTTTTGCTCATCAAATTAACGTTGAACCAACGTCAGACGCGGCATTCTTCAAAGCTAAATGAAAATCGAAAATTGGTTTGCTTTCATAACATTGAAACAACTTTGATTGCAAGTTGATTTTCCGTTAGTTTTGAAAGAATGACGCGTCTGATGAAATTTGTTCAACGTTAATTCGATGAGCAAAACAATGTCAGTGACATGTGTACAACGCAGCTAGAAGCTAACGTTTTCTAATGTTAGGTTAACGTTAGCCTAACTCACGTTAGAGATTTTAAAGATAACGTTCAAATAACGTTGTTGACATAACTTAAAACAGATGTTGACATTCTTGTTTAATTTATCCACGTTTAGTTGGTGTTGTGGTCTACCGCATAACTTAATCGTATAATCCAGAGCAGACACTTATCTCGGTTGAGATGTGGCTTGGGAAAGGGTAAAAAAAAAACAAAAAAAACACACCGTCGCCAAGCCTCTCGGGAACCTAGTGTCGGAGTTGTATGTACCCCATGTACACCGTTTGACCATTTTAAACTTAAAATGACAAGAAAAAACGAGTGAAAACTGACTAACTGCAATTCATTTCAATGTATGTAGAAACAGAGAATGTCCGAGTGCATTGGGTTAGCTGCACACTGTGATTGGCTCATCACGTTTGAGGGCGTGGCTTAGCCATAGGTCAATAGCAAGTACACGTTGATGGCCCAAGACACGAAACGAGTGGGTTGTGTGAGAAAAGGAACAGTATTTATATTGTTTTTACCCCATATAACCACAGCCACGTCCAAGTGATCCAGAATTGATCTAGGATGCTGTGTTCCAGGCAGGTTTTTGAGCATGTAAATCACGACTTTAAGCCACGACTCACGACTTTGTAGCATTCCAGGCCAGAAAACTACCTGAGCGCAAGGAATTGTGCAGTAAATTGCAACCTCTAATGCCAGGTGTGTTAGTCAAGTGACATTAGTCACGTAACGACTAGCTGAAACATTCTAAAACTGAACTGAACACACAGAATTTTCAATGACTGGAGCAAATTTTAAAAACAGACTGAACGCAACTGTCTCCGACTTGCGCGTCTGGGCATGATCAGTTCAGTTGTAACAATCAAATTACATTCATAATCTGCCTTATGGTCGTAAAGTGTGTCCTCGGCTTAATGGACACTGATCTGTAGGCAGGTCTGATATTTATTGTGTGATAATTAGAGTTTGCATTCAGATGAAGAAAGCAGATATTGCATCCGGAACAGGAGCACAGAGTCATTATCAATGTCCAGCATTTCTGTGTGTGTCTAATGAAGATTATATAGAGTCTCCCCAAGGACGGCAGAAGGGAATGAAACAAGAATGCAGTTGCTTAACAGGTGAAGCTGGCTTGTTTGTGTGTGTGTGTGTGTGTGTGTGTGTGTTCATGTGAGAGAGATGGAGCTGTCTGCTGTTTGTCCTGCAGGAGGGAATAAATCAGAGCAGCCTGGCGATGAAACTTTAATGAAGAAACAGAAACAGACTCACTCAGTCCAGCCTTATCATAGCCATCTTTCTTTCAGCCTGATTTAATCAGTCCTTTTGACCATCCTTTTGTTCTGTCTTTCTGTGGACACGGGTAAAATATGTTAAAATATTAGTCTGAGTTCTCAAAAAGTAGACGTTTTGTTTCATTTACCAAACTGGAAAATTCAGATCAAATTGGTATCTGGAACATGTTTTGAAAAAGTAGCTGCAGGTTTCTATAGACCCAGGTCGTTCATTAGCTGCAATTAGCAAAGAGCCCTTCAGAAACAGGTCATTAGTAAAGTATATTGTGTAGGACTAATATAATAGTTGTGTATTATTTTGTGTTCATAAGTTGTGATTTTGTCAGTGTATGGATACTTTCAAGAGCGTTCGTTCAGTGCAGGGCCCAGAGCACTTGCAGTAGCCCAAAGCTCCCAATCCATAGGGCAAACAAATTTGGGCATACTGGTAAGGACAATAAGGCTCCTGTAAGATTGTCATGTTGTCCCTCCTCATTGTACAACATCACTAGCACTTTGTTATTCTTTGTTATTTAAAGATACAATATGTAATTTTTTCACCACTAGGGGTCGCTAACTTCTTACAATAACAAAGGGGTAGGTTGATGACGCAACATTTACTGCGGAATTATGGAAA